GAAAGAGTTCATCTAAGGAAGAGAAGCCAAGGAATAAAAACTACATGGTTTGAATATGAATATGAATAAAAACTACAGCGGTATACCAAGAAGGCAAGGCTATTTGAAACCTATAGTTTAAAATTTTGGCACTAATCCATTTGGTTTGCTTTCATATAGTTTGTCAAGTAGATTTTGGATTTTTTATTTATCATAGAGGTAATGTTGAAAAGCAACAGATGATTTATTAGTGGTCAAGACCAAACTTAGTTCTCATATTCATTTTCATTTCATTCAATCTTTCATGGGTATGCAATAATGTTGTTGTGTGTACTAATTTGGGTTAAATACTCTTTGTTGAATTTTAGAACACCCTTGGTTAATGAGTATTTGTTTGTCATTTCTGTTTTGTGGCTCTTTGTTGGATTTTTGGATTTGTTTACCCTTTTAACCATTCTAAAATTTACACAGGTGATTCAACTAAACCACCTCATACTAATTTCATCCACTAAAAAAATGATGATCGTGCAACATAGCTTCCCAAACTACATTGCACATGGTTACCAAATAGATATAAGATAAGAACTGTTAGAACAAAGGATTTAAGAAAGATGAATTAAATGTTGTGAGTTAGTTAAGTGTAACTAACTATCTAACTGAATGAATTATTATTGCAGCTATTAATTACAATCATAATGGCCCTTTATATAGGCAAAGTGTCAATGCCCAAATACATGCTAAAAGCCCAAATAACTACATAATAAGAATTAACCAACTAACACATCCCCTAATTCATGTTATCAAGACTTTTCATCCCGATGTCTCTCTTTAACTCTTTGAACCTCACTTTCTTCAGATGTTCGGTAAATATGTCAGCTAGTTGCACTTCTGTCTTGCAATATTTTATTTCAAACGTCCCTTTGTTGACTTGATCCCTCGGAAAATGATACCTTCTTTCAAAGTGCTTACTTCAACCATGACATACTGGGTGATTCACAAGTTTTATAGCTGACTTGTTATCAACAAACAACTTCATCTTCGATTCCATTATTCTGAGTTCCTCAAGTAGCATTTTGATCCATGCTGCTTGGCATGCAACATATGATGCAACCACATATTTTGCTTCGCATGATGACAAAGCCACAATACTTTGCTTCCTCAAACTCCAGGAGATTGGAACTCCTTCGATCATGAAAATGTATCATGCAATACTCTTCTTTCGTCTTGATCTCCACTGAAGTCTGAGTCAGTGTATCCATGAACTTCGACATCTGAGTTATTCTTTGATTTCTTTGGTAACAGCACACCATGATCAATAGTTCCCTTTATGTATCTCAACACCCTCTTCACTGCGATGAAATGACATTTTTGAGGCTTCTCCATAAACCTGCTCAACAATCCTACACTTTGGAAGATATCTGGTCTTGTATTGCAAAGATACCTCAAGGATCCAATGATTTGTTTGTAAAGGATCAAACTTACAAACTCATCACTCGATTCTTTTTTCAGCTTTGCTCCAGTCTCTAATGGAGTAACAACTGCCTTACAGTTGCTCATATTGAACCTCTTTAGTATATCTTAATCATACTTCGTTTGATGCAAGAAAACTCCTTCTTCGATGTCTTTGAATTCCATTCCTGGAAAATAGGAGAGATTCCCTAAATCAGACATTTCGAATTCCTGCATTAACTTTGACTTTACCTTCATTATCTCAGTTACGTCTGCTCCTGTAATGAGTAAGTCATCAACACAAAGACATAAAATAATTCGATTGACACTTTCGACATCATTTACATATACTCCATGTTCAGAGACACACTTTGTGAAACCTACTTTGATTAGGAAGCTATCTATCCTTTTATTCTAAGCTCTAGGAGCTTGCTTCAAGTCATAGAGATCCTTCCTTAATCTGTAAACTTTCGACTCCTGCCCTGTGACGTTGAAACCTGGTGGTTGAGTAACACAGACTTCTTCTTCCAAAGGACCATTCAAAAATGCTGACTTTACATCAAGTTGGTGCATTTTCCATCCTCTACATGTATCTATCAAAATAACAATCTTGATTGTTTCGATCCTCGCAACAGGCACATATACTTCATCGAAGTCAATACCAAGTTTTTGTAGAAAACCTCTGGCCACCAGTCTTGCCTTATACTTTGCAATCTCACCATTTGGCCTTCGTTTCACCTTGTAGATCCATTTCACATTAATTGGTTTCTTGTTGGTTCTTTCGACAAGCTCCCAAGTCTTGTTCTTCTCAATGACTCTAAGTTCTTCTTTCATGGCTTCACACTAATTCGAATTGCTCAAGGCTTCGCCCAAATTAATTGGTTCTGCTTCAGCCATCATCATGGCTTCTTAGATTAAGTCACCATCTGCATTGATTGCTTGATCTGGAAACATCTCATATCTAATTAGCCTAGTCGACTCAGTTCTTGTTCTTGTGGATCTTCTTTCATTCTACACAGGTGGTTCTTCATTTCGACTTGTCGAAGCTTCGTTCTGTTCATCTTCTTCGAACACAGTTGTGACTGTGTTTGATTCTTATCAAACGGAACTTTGACTCCAGTCCCACCCTTTGCTTTTGTCTACAAGAACATCTCTACTGATCACTATTTTATCTTTGATTGGTGAATACAACTTGTATGCACCAGTCGAATGATAACCTATGAGCACCATGACTTCACTTTGATCATCCAACTTCTTTCTCAATTGTTCAGATATATTCCTGAAACACATTGATCCAAAAACTCTAAGATGACTTACATTTAGCTTCAACCCTGTCCAAGCCTCATGCGGTGTCTTTTCGACTATCTTCTTTGTTGGGCATCTATTTAGAATATATACTGCTGTTGAAGCTGCTTCAGCCCAAAATATCTTAGGCGTATTCTTAGCTTTCAATATACATCTCGTCATGTTCAGTACACTTCTATTCTTTCTCTCAGCTATGCCATTATGCTGAGGCGTATAAGGTGCAATAATCTCATGCTCTATACATTCCTCATTGCAAAATCTAGCAAATTCATCAGAAGTATATTCACCACCACCATCAGTTCTCAACTTCAATTTGCAGCCACTTTGTTTCTCAGCATGCAACTTGAACTTCTTGAACTGTGTGAATACCTCACTCTTCCTCTCAATAAGGTAAATTCACATATGTTTGGTGAATTCATCAATGAAAGTAAGGAAATACATGTTACCTCCATTGGACTTTACTTCAAAGGATCCACACACATCTGAATGAACCAGCTCCAGTTTTTGCCTTGATCTTATAGGCAAGTCACGTTTGAATGCCTTCCTTGCCTGTTTGGCTTTGCAACATTCCTCACATATCTGCTTTGGTTCCTTCACATACGACAATCCAAGAACCATTCTTTTCTTATTGAGCATACATAAACTCTTGAAGTTTAGATATCCATACCTGTGATGCCATAGTCAGTTCTTGTCTTCTTCTGTAGTTAAAGCAAGACATTTGTGATCTGATGTGTTGAGTTCAACCTTGAACGTCTTGTTCTCAGCCAATGGTGCTTTCATTATTAGCCTCTCATCATCCCTATATACCTTCATCTGATTATTCTCCAACTTCATATTGAAGCCTTTTGCAAGTAATTGACCTACACTTATCAAGTTACTTGTCATGAAGGTACATATAGAACTTCAGTGATAGCAGCCTTTCGAGCATCCTTTCTGATAATCGAAATATCTCCTTTACCACCTGATTTGATATGCCTACCATCTGCAAAATTTATCACCTTTTTGACCGACTCATCTAACTTGGTAAGCCAGTTTTTATTGCCAGTCATGTGGTTGTTACATCCTGAATCCAGATACCACATGTTGTTTTTCTCAGTAGTCGACTGAGTGTTCACCAGCAACAACACATCATCAGAATCAATACTTCCAGCTCGTGCATATTGAGCTTCATCACTATCTTTCAACTTCGTAACTTTCTTTCTTCGACAGTCTCTAGCATAGTGGCCAAAACCTTGACAATTGTAACATTGCACCTCTTTCGTGTCAACTTTCTTCCCAGAATACTTGTTGCCCACACCTTTCGAATCAGTATTCTTGCTTGATTTCTCATCACCGACAAGATTTTTTTGCTGCTTCGACTTCTCTTTTCCAGCTTTCTTGCTGAATCTTGATTGCAATGCTTGTTCAACTGCCTTCTCTCTTTCTGAGTTTCTCTGCTGCAACCTCATTTCGTGAGCCTCCAATGAAGCTTGAAGTTCTTCCAACTTCATCTCAGATAGATTCTTGGCCTCTTCAATTGTTACAACAAAGTAATCAAAAATCTGCAATTAGAGATCTCAATACCTTTTCTATCTTTTGCAGATCCGTAAGCGCTTCACCACACGCCTTCATCTGGTTTGTTATCGTTACAACTCTTGAGAAATATGCAGAAATAAATTCATCCTCTTTCATCTGAAGCATCTCGTACTGCTTCCTCAGTGTCTGTAACTTCACATTCTTCAGTTTCTCATTTCCACCATACAAAGATTTCATCTTTTCCCAAACTCCTTTTGTTGTTTCTTCTTCAATTATCTTCTCGAATATGTCATAATCCACACACTGGTGAATCAAGAACAGCGTCTTGCCATCTTTCTTCCTCTGATATTTGTGCGCGGCTTTCTAGGCTTCCGTAGCATCTACTTCCAGTTCTGATATTCCATCATTCAAGATTTCTACGACGTCTTGAAATCTGAAAATAACCTTCATTTGCGTAATCCACCGTTGATAGTTTTCACCTTTGAAAACCGGTAGATTTGCTGGAAACTATGTTGATGTTGTTGATCTGTTTGCCATTAGATTCTCTCTGAATCACAAACAAACTCTTGATACCAATTTGTTGGAACAAAGAAAGATGAATTTT